AACATATTTGACCCCTGTGACCTTGAATATGGGTGAAGGTCATTCATTTGAACAAACTTGATAGCCCTTTACCCCAGCATGCTACTGGCTAAATATCATCACCCTGGGCATTTTGGATATTGAGAAGAAATTGTTTAAAGTTTTTAACATATTTGACCCCTGTGACCTTGAATATGGGTGAAGGTCATTCATTTGAACAAACTTTGTAGCCCTTTATCTCAGCATGCTACTGGCCAAATATCATCACCCTGGGCATTTTGGTTATTCAGAAGAAGTTGTTTAAAGTTTTTAACATATTTGACCCCTGTGACCTTGAATATGGGTGTAGGTCATTCATTTAAACAAACTTTGTAGCCCTTCATCTCAGCATGCTACTGGCCAAATATCATCACCCTGGGCTTTTGTTTATTCAGAAGAAGTTGTTTCAAGGTTTTTTAAGACAATTGACCCCCGTGACCTTGAATATAATTGAAGGTCATTCATTTGAACAAACTTGGTAGCCCTTCACCCAAGCATGCTACTGTCCAAATAACACCTCCCTGGACAGTTTGGTTATCGAGAAGAAGATGTTTAAAATTTATTAACATATTTGACCCCTGTGACCTTGAAAATGGGTGAAGGTCATTAATTTTAACAAACTTTGTAGCCCTTCATCACAGTTTGCTTCTGGCCAAATATCATTACCCTAGGCCTTTTGGTTATTAAGAAGAAGTCGTTTTAAGTAAAATACTGACGCCGGACGCCGGACGGAGGGACGGACGGACGGACGCCGCGCCACGGCATAAGCTCACTTGGCACTTCGTGCCAGGTGAGCTAAAAATAAAGAAACATTAATTGATAACGTTTAATCACTTACAATAATTTTCAATCAAAATCAACAGAACATTTATTTTACATACTGAAAAGCATTTTTGCTGGGTTTATACCAACCAAAAAAATACAAAAGCCAGAACTGATGAACAAGATATTATCAATGATCTTTACGTCAAGATCAGTAGTACATTGCTGGTTTCCAGAATAGACAGGATATCGGGTTACAAAGGGTTGACATATTTTGATTTAAGAGAGGAAATGCCTGAGCCAAATTTCAAAGCTTGTATAGACAGGAACAGGTTTATACTGAAAATAAAAGTACACTTGTACTGGTTAATGCCAAAGTCTGCATTCCTATTTATCCCACACTTCCTCACTACTAACGATATCTCAGTAGACACACAAGTGGATCACACATTATTTGGTGTGTTACATATTACTGTAATAGAAGTCATTATTGTTTTTCAATGCCTCCGCTAGGAGTTGAATCCAGGACCTCTGGTTTACTGGTCTTCATGCAACGCTCTACCAAATGAACTAAAGAGCAATCCTCCCTTGCTGAGACAACAGGAAGTGGCTAGTATTTTACCAAGTTGACATTGCTTTAATGAAACTTTACTCCAAGGTCAAAGGTCAAATTCATGCAGTCCCTTGTTTCTGCCTTAACGTCCTCAATACAGGTTAATATGCAGGTGCACCACCAGCAGATGTGTGTTTTCAGCTTAAATGACAGTTAAATTCATACCACTATGTGCAGAAATGTGCATCCATGCTGTAACAACTTAATTCCAGTTCACTGAGAAAAGGTAAACTAACAGATACTTGAAGTACTGGTAACAACGACTGATACAAGAATATTGATACAGTGTACTAACCAGAGAACTTGTACATGTAGCAGCCTTTCTCACTAGATATCCGTGTGAAAAACTGAACCGCTGAATCGCCGCATTTACGGAAGATGTACATGTACACGTGTAGTGCCGGTAAAATGCATACATTGCAGACTTCACGTAAATCTTTGTTATCTTCCGCCTTGTCATCCCACACACACTGCAGATTTAGACGATAAGTCCTCAGTCTTCGTCTACCTCCTCTTCATCACTAAAGTATGCATCCTTTTTGTACTTCTTGCGTTTAGGTTCGTCAATATCATTAAAGTTGAGACTTGTCTCTCCATACCTCCGAGCAACTTCACTTTCCATTTGTTGTCTCTGGAAAATTAGCAAGAAGTAAAATAATGCCTCTGTCAATATTGGAATTCTAGTTGATATTGGCCAGAAAAGAAAAACACTTGTACATTACCATGAAAAGACAATAATAAATTAGTTTAAAGCTGATCTAAAAGGCTTTTATCAAAAGAATTAGACTATCTGGCACACCAATCAGAAACTAAAGTGATCTTGACTTAGTTGACTTTTATTTGACCAAAACGTTCTTGCTAGGAATCTAGCTCTGTGATTGAGAATGCCAACTTTGAGAAGAACAGCATTCAGCAAAAGAAAGGCTTATTCGACTTCTAGGTTTTAAATTAAATGACCTTAGAAAAGTAACTTGTTCTGAACAAGTGTCAGTCAAATGAATACTATGTCACTACATAAAGACACTAGGCTCATCAGGTGTTGCGATCTAAAAATAAAAAGATGATTGGATGACATCCTGTTTAATATAAACTACGGATGAGTATTTACATTCATGGCCTTGACATTAACAGTGGAAACTTGGATATTTGATAGTTTGTGTGTTCTGGTAATTTGATAGTTTGTGTGTTCTAGTAATTTGCGAGTTTGTGTGTTCTAGTAATTTGCGAGTTTGTGTGTTCTAGTAATTTGACAGTTTGTTTGTTCAAGTAATTTGACAGTTTGTTAGCTCACCTGGCACGAAGTGCCAAGTGAGCTTATGCCGTGGCGCGGCGTCCATCGTCCGTCCGTCCGTCGTCAATATTTTACTTTAAACAACTTCTTCTTAATAACCGAAAGGCCTAGGGTGTCGATATTTGGCCAGAAGCAAACTGTGATGAAGGGCTACAAAGTTTGTTAAAATTAATGACCTTCACCCATTTTCAAGGTCACAGGGGTCAAATATGTTAAAAACTTTAAACATCTTCTTCTCGATAACCTAACTTCCAAGGGAGATGATTTTTGGCCAGTAGCATGCTTGGGTGAAGGGCTACCAAGTTTGTTCAAATGAATGACCTTCAATTATATTCAAGGTCACAGGGGTCAATTGTCTTAAAAAA